AAGTTTAAAAGAGAAGTTGGAAGTAATTCGGATTGGCGATATACCATCCATGGTCAGGTATATTTAAAACATGAAAAAAATTTAAATCTTTTCGGCTTCATCATTTTAACTATTCTAAGTCTGGAAAAATGTCAAAAAATCAAGAAAGAGGTTAAATATTTAACGACGAAGTTGGTTCAATTTGTGAGTTGCTGAAGATTTTAAAATAAATTTTCATTCAAAATTCTAAAGCTTTGAATTAAATTTTTTTTAAATTAATAATACTCATATTTAAAATTTATGTTGAAGAAATGTGTTTTAGTTTCCAATAAAATTAATTTATAAAAATTAATATTACTTTTTAATAAAAATCTCATAGCAAGCTACTCTGACTTCTGTCGAGGTAACAAAATTTACCTAGGTATTAAAATTTACCATTCAGTAAATTTTGTTACTACAATATTTCGTATTCTGAGCTCACTGTTACCTTGTAAATTTTGTTACCACCGAAATAGGAGGTAAAAAATATTTGTGTTGTAAGTTTGAGAAAAAATAAAAATCCAAAATGGGTAGGCATATTTTAGGCCTGGAATTAATTGAAGATGAAGAAAAAAGTGCAAATAGCAGTATTTTAAGAAGTTTTCTAGACTAAAAAATAGCCCTTTAATTTGTAAGATAACGTTCTAATTCAGTTTTTTTTTTGTTTTCCAGGCATTTTTTCCATAATTAGGTTTAAATATTTATGATTTAATAAACAAATTAATAAACTTTTTAATTTTTTTGTGCATCGTCTTCCATTTCGATGTGAATATTTTTGTTTTTACTTTATCAACTGGCAAATGTTATTTGACATGGACGAAAAAAGCAGTGCTGCCAAATTTTTTTCAAACATTGTAACCAGTTCTCCAGAATACCAAATTCAATTTCGGGTGTTAACGAAAAGTAACAAAATTTACTTTACCGGTAACAGTGAGAATAGGCCTGTTGATGTCATGTCATACGAATGGCATAAAAAACAATATCAAAAATGTTAAAAACTATCAAAATTTCAAGCGAACGCGCATTATTATAAGATATTAATAAAAAGACCGATTTTGGCATATTTTCTTTGTCTGCTAAAGAGCTTTTGAGAAATGGCTGATCCATATCTTGTGAAAAAATTGTGTTTAAAAATTCGAAGCCGTCAAAAAGTAAGCAGTGGAATATTGACGAAAATTTGAAAAAAATATTGTGTGAGTGATAGATATCAATATTTTTTGAAAAATTAAAACATACATGGGGTTTTGTAGAATATTTATTAACCTCACCTGAAGTCTTGAAGTATTGATTTGCAAAAAAAATTGGGACTTACCTATTAATTTGTGTAAATATTTGGTTTTATTTGGCCAAATCTATCTTGGTTTCATCAAAGCCTTGCACAAATATGCGTCTGCGATGGCGTTAGTACGTAAAATCAAAAACAAAATTTGTATAATTTGTGATCTCTTCCGTATAAGACATTTTTCCCATACTTATATACATAAATATTTTTGAAAAAAAAAAAATGATTTCCTACTGTATATGTATATGGCGAAGTTGATTCGGTGACGTCAACGGTTGTCGTAATCTTGTATTCTATAAACCTTGCGTACTCCCAAATACATACATACATACATACGTATGTGCAATTTTAAAAAGACAGCGTGTGAAATTATATGTAGATATTTCATGAAACGGACTCTGATATAATTCTTTAAAAAGTAGAGTTTGGTTTGAAGAATTAATTTTCATACTACAAGTGACTGTATTTAACTTTCGAAATTTTTTTTGTATTTTGTTAAAATTCTCGTGTCACAGTATTTGCATTCAAACTCCTCCGAAACTGCTGGAATGATTTTTATGAAACTTTGCGTGCATATGGGTTAGGTACGAAAATTGGCCTATGCGCCTACGGATATTTGACAATTGTCATTGTCCCAGAACGCCACCTTATATTTGAGTGATGTTTCAGTACGCCACTATATTGTTACGATTTTGCTGAATTCTTCGGGTACGATCTCTGGATTTTTAATTAAAAAATCGCTAACTTAATTTGCAATTTCTTTCGTTATAAATAATTTATCTAATGTCCTTTATTTACTCAGTAATTCACAATTCAATTTCAATGCACTTTACTAGTTACAATCACTTGTATAAAACTTTCACAATCTACTTTACTTAAATATAATCTCCAACGCGTTCAATTTACGACTCAATATAAATAAATAGTTTTTTACGCTATACTCTATACTCATGTCGTCGCCAACGAGTTCACTTTGTAACTGCCTCGGCTTCTCTCTTTCATCTGACTAGTATATTCTAGAACGATGAAACGAGAAGCTTCGATAGCGAACAACTCGATTATTCTACTCGTTTGCGACAACATAGAGTATAGCGGAATAAACTTTTTGAGTCGTACAGTAAACGCGTGGGAGATTACATTTAAGTAAAGTAAATTGTGAAAGTTTATGCAAGTGATTGTAGCTAGTAAAGTGCATTGTAATTGCAAAATCGTAACAATTGGTGTCAGTGGGATTGTTAAACAAATCCCAAAGGATAATATTTGCAAAATGGTAAATATTCAGGATTTGACGATACCTCCTCTCAAGAAGTAGTTGGCAAAGCGAGGATTGTCGACAACTGGAAATAAGGCAGAGCTGCAGTCGAGACTGCGAGAAGCAATGGAAGTTGAAGGCATTGAACCAGTACGAGTTCCATCGCGAGGATGAAGATGTATCCTTGAAGGACATTGACAAGGAAGAGGCTGATAGTTCTGTGAAGGATCAGCATCAATTAAGATTCAAGAAAAGGTTCCTGGTTCATCTAAGGGTATTGACATGAACATGTTATTGACTGCGATCTCGAGCATCTCACAAAAGATGGATGCACAGAATGCCAACATTACATCACAAATGGTTGAACAGAGGGAGCGATGTCATCCTTGGAAGGAACAATAGCGGTGGTGAGGAACAATGCGGAACTTAAGGAAAGGCAGGAGCTAATTGAGACCAAAGTCAAAGCATTGGGAATTGCAGCTAAATCGTCCAACCGCTTCAGTGAACGCTCCGAAAGTAAAAACACCATCTTTTAAGCTCCAATTTGAGAAGACAGCTGAAACAAACAACTGGAGCATAGAGGAAAAATCCGCTGCAAATAGAACAAATGGCTGCGGAAAGTCCTATTGAGAAGGCATACTGGGCACAATGGAACAGTTTAGAGCTGATATCCGGCTGTTTGCTTAGAGTGTGGGAAAATGAAGATGGCCAGTGCTCCTGGAAGCTAATGATAGTTCCGAAGTTAAGAATTCGGGATGTTCTGAAGGAATTCCATAACGGTCTTAGTGGAGGGCACCTAGGCATTACAAAAACGCTGGAAAAGATCAAGCAGCGGTTCTATTGGGTTAGCTGTCGCATTGCACGGAGTGCATAGCAGCTAAAGGCCCAAAGTCCCGAAGTCATGGGCAGATGAAGCATATATCACTCGATTATTGTACACTTTCGTCTACGAGCAGCCGACTGCTATATAAGGGTGACACTCAGCTACCAAGTCAAGTCAGTGACAAAGTGAACTCGTTGATAACAACACAGAGTATAGCGGAATAAACTATTTGAGTCCTAAAGTAAACGCGTTGGAATTACATTTAAGTAAAGTAGATTGTGAAAGTTTATATAAGTGATTATAACTAGTAAAGTGCATTGAAATTGAATTGTGAATTACTGAGTAAATAAAGGACATTAGATAAATTATTTATAACGAAAGAAACTGCAAATTAAGTAAGCGATTTTTTATTTAAATATCCAGAGATCGTACCCGAAGAATTCAGCAAAATCGTAACAATATAGTGGCGTACTGAAACATAACTCAAATATAAGGTGGCGTTCTGGGACAATGACAATTGTCAAACATCCGTAAGCGCATGCTATGGAGTTGCACGGTTTTTACGCACGTAAATGTAAGGAGACGGACGCACGATGTTTTATTTAACAATCCAGAGATTGTGCCCGAAGGATTCAGAAAATCATCGAGGTTGATGCAGCAAAATCGTAACAATATTGAGTTATGAAAATTATTTGAACCAGTCTGGTCATATTGCCCGCTGTGTTTTTCCCTTTATTCTCATGTTCGTTTTGTACTGAGGCGAATTCGCCCGCCGTAAATGAGTAGTTTGTTTTTAAATCAGTTCATTCGTTAATAGACTACTGGGAAAGGCGCACTGTGGTAAGTATTTGAGGCTTCTTTTATCTCATTTTATTTCATTGTAAATTTATTAGAAATAAACCACATGCATTGAAGTAAATGTGAGTTACGATAGTAATTAGTTCGGAGAACTCGTATTTTCGGTTCAGTTTGCTTGAAGTTTTACTTTCTGAATCGATTATTATTTCGCTACTTGACTAACACGATATATAATACTAGGCGACAAAACGAACAAAAAAAACGAAAGGCATTAATTTTGCATGGTCAGTCTACATTCCTACATTCGAGGGTTGTTAAACGGTAAATGAGGTTGGCTACTACCCGATCTTTACAGCTGGGTTTAAAAATAGTTCATGAAAAAATAGGATATAACTTAAAAGCTATCGTTCTTAATTAAGTTTTCCTCATTGTTATTAATGTTCAGTTAAAAGTAAGTAAAGTTATGTTAGGAATTGAAATAGGTTGTTATGATTTTATTGTTTTTGAAAATTAAATACAGAAAAAAATTATTTTGATTAAATATGTTTAAATAGTAATATACTAACAACCTTCAAGATGTATTGGTAATTGAATATATTATATTGAAAATGTGCTCCTATATAATAATGCTCGGTTAGACTTTAACTTGGTCCATGCAACTTAAACTAGGGAAGTTATAAACTTAAACTCGAAAATTTTAATTCTTATGCGCAACTCATGTTTAAAAGTGATAAAAGAACAGAATATAGTAAGCGTGCATTAATGTAAACATGACGATTAAAAAAATAAAACCATTATTTATTATATTTAATATTCATTGGACTTACCTTCAATAAAAGAATGTAATAAGCCCTATTCGATTCATAAATGATTGATCCGTATCTATGCTCGTTGATTGCAAAGATTTTCTTCATAGAATGTGTATCATGGTTGCATGTGGCAGATCTACAGGTAAAAGTCTCCAGAAAAAAACGACTATCAGTATCCGAACCCCGCTGATCCATGCCCAGTCATTGAAGGAGTAACACTACTAACTATACCTAATTGTGTGGCTGTATTATTTGATTGTCAGTGTTGTGCAGCAAATTTCATACGTTTTTGTTTTTGCCTTTGATTGCAGAACCAGACCCGCACCACGTTTTTCTTCAAGTCCAATTTCTCAGCAATAGCAGCTATTTTTTCACCAGAAGGCCTCGGTTGTACGGCAAAGTAAGCTTCCAGGGAACGTTTCTCAGGCGCCGCAATGGAAGTCCTTTTTCTTGAAAAAAGACTCGATATAGATTACTGTTACAAAGTAGTTAACTGTTATGCTTTTCTTGCCAATGTAAAGATGTTGTATACAGTGTGCCCGCAATGGGGCTCGCTAATAGGCCGCGTATCCCGTACTGAAAATCCCATTTCTCAAGTAAACATAATAGTTTTTAATTCACAAATAAATATAACTGGTTACTATTGAACAAAAAAAAACTGTAACTAGTAGCTACATATTGGGTGGGCACCCTATACGTATTCTATATCGTGTACTTTAGTACTTTTGGTAAGATCTTTAATATTTTTAAATTATTGAGGTTAAGTAAAAAATAAACATAAACGTTTTTCCTCTGACAAGGCGAGTTCTTTAAAACAACTGAAAAAAAGAAAAAGAAAGACGGTTAAGCTATCATGTTCATGATACAATAATTTAAAGGTAATTTTATTCACTCTTCACAGTCGGCGCCATAGCTATCTGACGTTAAACGTGTTTCGTGTTATGTGGAGATTTTTCAAAAATATTTAAAAAATTTTGAACATTCAAAAATCACTTAATATATTGTATTTTTTAACCCTTGATAGTGGACTCCATATACTCCCTTTCATAATAGGTATATTGAATTTTTTTTTTTGTAAGAAAGTGTCAGAAATGAAGATTCGCCCACCACTGACGACATTTACTATATCTACATTTGAATGCGAATCGGTGGCTTTGTAGAGCAGTGCAAATCGATTATAAAAACCTCATAATTACGCTAAAAGTCGATTAAACTTCCAAAAACTTTGGAATTCAATCTAACTGCTAAATATATTGATATTAGTCAGTTAGTTAGTTAAACAGCTTGTTCGATCACAGAACCCTAATCCTTTGATGATACCTATTTCGGTTCTGTGAAGAATATTTCTATCACTTTTCCAGATGCTCAAACCAGATGGTGTATTTAACGAAGTTCAAAAATTAGTGGTGCTTAGAGATGCTAAGTAATCGAAAAAAAAATTTCCGAGAAATCGATAACGTATCGCTGAGTTTGCGGGGTTATGTCCATTTCTATCCGGTCAGCTCATCGATCCTACAGTTCCCTGGGTGTCCCCATGATCAGGCACTTAAACCGCTGAAGTTTCGCCTATATTTAAGGAAACCTATAAGTATAAGTGTCGAAAAAGATAAAAACATGTCAACTCTTTCCCTTGTATTTATCTATCTAGCAAATCCTTTCCTTACTTTTGCCGCCTAAGAAAAACGGCTTGAAACAAATATTTTAATTGATCTATACGTGAATTCAATATTATAGCATTAGTTTAGAAGAGAACCCAAAAAATAATTCAAAAATCTCCAAGCTGAATATTTTATAAATGGCAAGATCAAACATTTCTGAACAAACTACCTTATGGAATTTTTGTATCATGGAATAGCTTTCTGTGCTCCTTAAACAATTGTCAGTGTCTGTGATCAATTGATAAATTATAAATATAGTTTTGACAAAACATAAATAAATCAAGCATTTATTGAGACAAAGATCAAGTTTGAGGATGTTTTACGCTCCCAGTTAGCTACGAGTTCTATGGTCTTGTTAGACGTCTAGCAATCATTGAGAAAAATTATTACGCAAGACATAACCAACTGCCTCTTCCCATAATAACGAAATTACGAGATTATGTGTAAAAATATGTAGAAGCAAACGCAACACCGTTTAACTATACAAAACTAACCTAATATAGAGAGATGTTGATTGTCATTTTGATTTTTCGATTTTTCATGTCAGTAAAAATGCTAACTTTCCTTTAACCAAAACGTTGTCTACCTTTTCTTTTCACCCGCTGGAAGTACGCTGGGGGCATCTGGATCTCTTCGCTTGTTTTTCGCTTGTGCCTCCGCCTCTTCGAGCCACGCCTGTAGTATGGGTTTTAACGCAATCATATTATTGTGGGATAATGTGAGACTTTCGAATCGACATATTGTACTCTGTGAAAGGGCTCCAACTCCCGGTAATTTTAGATTCGCTAAAGCTTTACCTACATCTGCCTGTGTAACGCCTACAGCAAAATTTGTTTGAGTTTTTGTTAGTGTCAGAATTCAACGAGCCTTTACCTAACTTTATTCGTCGTTGCTTAAATCTCTCAGCGAATGCCTCCAATTCCCTAGGATCTGTATCAGTATCGGGGTGTAGTCCAGCGGCTGCAACCGCCGCCGATATAACAGGATGATGTACCGTAGAATGTCCATGATCTGAAAATATGTTACTTAAAGTTTGCACGTAGTGCTCTTAAATTGAGGTTTTACTCGTAGAATGTCCACCTAGCGCTCCTGGATGATGATGACTCATCATATGGTTCATACTATGGTAGGATCCATGTAAATGTTGATGAGTTGGCGTCAACGATGTATCTGACATCGGCGCTAACGTTGTCATTGGTCCTGTCGGGTCCAACATGTCCAATTGATCCATCGTATGGTGCATCTGAAAGCAAGTAAAGATTGTACTTGTACTACATGCAAATGTATATTTAGATATATAAATATATATGTATTGTATTATTAGTATTATCGAATGAATACTAAATTTAAAAGGTGTTGGCGCATTATTTAACAAGTTTGTTTAAATTTGTTTTCATTGAGAGATTTTTTTTAAGATTCAGGCTGTTGACGGAGTTTAAAAAAATTAATCTCGTCTGGCTTAAGATTTAAAAATTGAATAATAATTCCCAACATACACAATATTTGTTCATGGTGGCTCCTACTCTCGTGACCATGTTTCACACCCTGGAAACGAAAGTAACCCTGATGCGGTACCCATGTGTAGTCTTGGGTCATGGCTAAAAGAGAGGAAGCTTTGGATGAACCACTCCGACAGATTAAGAGTAAACAAAAGTTTAATTGATCGCGAATGTTCACCAGAGGTGAACGGATGTCGGTCGGCAAACTCATAGCCAGATAAATCGTATTGTGATAATCCGTCGACATGTCTCTATTGTTCTTAACATGAGTATGCTCAACACTGATCACTGACCCGTGCAGCACCTCTGTGCTGTTCAACCTCCTTACTTATAACTGTAAACGAAGCTATTGGCAATAATATGCGTGCGAAATGGAATAGATACTGAGCTGCCTTTACTGCTATTCTGAATTTGGTATCACTGAAAAACTTGTACACTGACTTTAAGCAACACCATAAGCTCCATCAGAATCGAAGCCAATCGAAGTTCAAAAGTACATTTTCTTTTTTTAACTCCTTTCAAGAAGTTTTGTTACGAAATTGAAAGCAAATACTGGTAAGAAAACTACGTTCCAAGACAGACAGTTTTTCTATTTTTAACGTTAAGCAAATACAATTTATACAATACAACTTTTTTAATAGATAAGTTCGGTAATTCATAGTGCATTTAGTGCAAGATGAAGACTCAGTTCGAGGTGTAGTATTCGTCATACCACACCAACGCTTTTTGGGAAAGTTTAAGAATATGCTGACATCTAGCTTTAAAACATCTTCGATAAGGCAGCGCAGTTACAGAGGAGGTGCACTACGACTCACCTCTCTGTTATTAATGCTTATTTCGCATTCATATGATGCCTGGAGGTTGGGGCCTGACAGTAGATCTACTATTGTCTTAAGTCTTTTTAAAAACGTGGAAGCAAAATTTGTATGTATCTTCCTTTTTGCAGCTCCTACATCTATCCCTTTATAGCTTCTACTGTTTTGGATATTTCATTCTCCGGTTTTGTCCTTAGGCGAAAGAGACTTTTAACATTCCCTTTACCTATTTTCTGTTATTGCTTCCTCCACATAAGTTGTCCTATTTTTGCTTAGGACCTAAAGCGAATAGTAGAGCAAATCAGGAATGTTTGTCTTCTCTCGACACTAACCAACTCTCTGCCATCGTAAGCTATAGCAATAACTCATCTATCTGTAATTTTCTTGTGATCGAACCAATTGATAGTTTATGTGTGATTTCAGAATATGAATTTTTAAACTTTACTGAATATTTCTCGGACCAGGATAAATCGGACAAAAATGTGTCTTAAATTCATATTAACAGTGAAAATCATGGAAATCGAAATACTGTTAGTGTGATTGTCGAGCTGCTACTGAAGGGTCTACCTGACGCGACCAAGCTCGAAACGTTTCAATATATTATATGTTCGTTACTTGAAATTAAGCCAAATTATCTTACAAAGGTCCTTAACTACCTAACATGTTTTATATTTCCATATCGATCTTACGCTGCTGCATGTGTAAAAAATAAAATATATAAGAGGTGTGTTCAAAAAATATCGCGACTTTTTTTTTCAAAAATTATTTATTTATTCATGAATATCTATTTTGTCCCCTTCAAAGCAATCCCAAAGAGATATTATAAACTTGTGCCAACGGTTTTTCCAATCTTCGAATCTTCAAAAAATCATTTTTTTTTCTTGTTCAGCTCCTCCTTCGATGCCGTCTTTATCTCGTCAATTGTAGCGTAATATCGTCCTTTCATGGGTCTCTTCAGTTTAGGGAACAAGAAAGTCAAATGGGGCCAGATCTGGGGAATACAATGGCTGCGGCATCATTAGTGTGTTGTTTTTGGCCGTTATCGTGGTGCAAAAGCCAATTTTTGTTCAACAAATCCGGGCGTTTCTGGCGGATTGCTTCGCGCAAATTGCGCAAAACTTGCAGATAATATTCCTTATTGACCGTTCTACTCTTTGGCAATACCATTTTTTCCACTTCATTAATTTTTTCGTCTGTTGTTGAAGTGCTCGGGCGTCCGGCACGCTCTTCGTCGTTCACATCTTTTCGGCTTTCTGAGAACATTTTGTACCACCGATAAACGTTGCTTCGGTCCAAGGTAGCTTCTCCGTATGCCACAGTCAACATTCGGAATGCATCCGCGCTCTTAATTTCGTTCCATTTTTTTGAATAGGTAAAAATCGAGGACCATCCAAAACACGTGCAAGCAAAGCAGCTGCCAACAATTAAGTGAACATTCAAAATGGTCGAGCTTGTAGGCATAAGTGACAGACATGAGTACCAACATAACGTCACAAAAAAATCGAAATTCGATTATTCGTAACCCGCGAAAATTCAAAATTCGCGATACTTTTTGAACACACCTCGTATGTACAATATTATTATATAATTGTGCAAGATTAAGAATTGCATAATCTGATATTATTTCTTTCAAACTGTTTCGTTTTTATTTAATAAATATAAAGAGATGATGATGAGTTTTTTTTCATGTCCGAGTAACTATGTATGTCTTGTGAATGAAAAATTTTGATAGTAAACTACTGAAATTCTTACTGAAAGAATTTTCAAAGCAGAAATTCATATGAAATTTAAAACGATTAAAGTAGCATTTTCAAAACCTAATGGTATAATTATGTATGTATATTAAACTCTTGTAAAATTATCTAAGTATACGAGCAGGTGTGCGTGTGAACATACATACATACGTATTGAGTATTCTCACTTATGCATTGTATTTCAAAGTGGGAGAAAATGTATGTACATACGTAGGATTTTGTGCCTACATACACACATCCAAACAACCACAAAATTGCATTGAAATTGGGAGGGGTAATGATAAAACAACAACGTCAAATGCGGCAATCAACCATAACAAAGGCACCATGAATATTTGGCAGATATGTATTGTAAAATTGCAGAAAAGGGGAAGCTCTTCAATTATACACCAATCCCAGATCAAACTTGTTGTTATTGGAATCAACCTTCACCAGCCCTGTCTATGGCAGTTGAATTTAGTACGTCGGCGCAGTGCAGCTACCCCACAAATATGTATGTTTGTTAATATAGAGTTATACGTTTATTTACATATTTATATGTATATATGTATAAGTATGTATGTGTTACAAAAGTTATATATAAATACAAACATATGTATATGTATATCTTAAAATTTTGGCTAAATCTGTTCTGTGGTTGGCTGAAATATTTGAAATTTTCAGTATGTACTTATACATGTTTATATAAATATTTACACAGTTATAGCAGTATCTACTGTATTAAAGAAAATACCAATGTATTCATAACCGTACAAAGTTTGATATAATACATTTCTGATTTGAAGTGCGACGACTCGATAATAAACCTATTGATAAAGATTCTATTTCGTGCTAGTGAATGTTTAATGGTTTATTTTCTAAAATTAAATAATTGCTTAGTCAAATATTTTAAACTCAAGGACAATTTTTTGTCCTGATTTATTTAAAACTGCTCACATGGGTAAATTTGCTCTTCTTTGCTAATTCGGAGTACGGAGAAGGGTTCAGGAGGAAATAATTTATTAAAATGTTTTGCAGGACTTAGAAGTTAGGAGTTAACTAAGGGCTTAAATATTAAATATTTATACAAACGACTTTAGTGCATTAACTTGCTAAGTCTCATTTCAGGACATCCACTCTGGATGAATGTACAAAGATCGAATAAAATTGTTACTTTTATTATTAAAGTAAAGGTATCTTTGAATTTGATTGGCATCCGTGTGACTTACGAGTAATTGATAATAACATAAATCTAATATGTTTTAATATAAACATGCTCAAGAAATGGTTCTTAGAATTGAAAATATTCAAATTGGAAACCCATATGATCAAACTATGTTTGTAAATATGTAGCATAATTTCTAAACCACAGCCATGATAGCAGAGTGATTCTGTCATTTGGAAGCCTAGGGTTCGAGTTCTGGTCCGACCAATTTTCAAAAGTTATAGAAAATTAGTTTAAGTAAAGAATTAAGTTAAATTTTTCGGTAGCGAATGTCAACCCCTTCGAGTGCATTTGTGACATGAAATAAAAACTCGTGATAAGAACCATCAGGCGTTCGGAGGCTGCTGCTTAGTATAAACTATAGATCCCTCCATTTGTGGGAAAAACATCAACACGCGAAACCACAAATCGGAGGAGGAGCTCGGTCGAAAATCGCTTCAGCGGTTTCAAAGTGCTAATGCTATTTACATATGAGTATGTACATACCTTTTTAATTTAGGAAAAGCGTATTTCTGAGGGTTGAAAGTCAAAAGAGTTTTTAGCTTTAAAGAAATAAATATATTAAAAAATATCAGTATACATGTTTTTGTGTGAACAGAAACAGTAAACAAAGAAAGATTTACTCATAACTTTGTAACGAAGCCAATGCATTTTTCCAAGCACGAAAAATTTTAAATACAGACATAACCTTAACATAATATTAAAGTAATGGTTTAAATATGGTAATTCTTGAAGAGTCAGGAAAAATCCCTACACTCAGATATAACTTGTAACGGAAACTGTTGTTGTTCTTTGTCTTTTCTAAGGATGAATTGAAATCATCGATTATTTTCTTCCTCTCTCAGCTGTGCCATTAAAACACTTATACCATTTATTATCTTATTATTTGTATCTATATTCGTCATTGAAATTATATTCCTACATCGGACCTTAGTTGTGGGAGCATTTTCGCTTCGATTTTCATTGAAAAA